CCCTCTTCTATAACGATCTTAAATACTTCCTTTGCATACATACATTAATAACCACATCAGAGGATGTTATCAACTTTGCTCTAAATGTAATTTTAAAAATTTAAGGAGATTGCATGTACCCATAAGTTAGCATTTTCTTTTTCTTTTCTTCCCTCCTATGATTGTTGTCAGAGTCTTCGGCAGCCAGAAGTTGGCTTCGGGGGATCTTAACAGTTCAGATCTGGCCAGAGGCTATCAGGAAAGTTTAATTAAGAGCAACAGAGACATGCAGGTGAAGCAGAAAAGGAGTTCATTTTGGTTTGGCCAGACTGGGAAGACAGCTGGTGTAGAAAACCCTCTTCCTGTTTGGATAACAGCTTCAAGATATAGAGGAAGGACGGGAGCAGGGAGCCAGGAGTATGCTTGAGCATAGCAGTCTCAGCCAGGCTGTGGTCTACTTGCAGGTCTGGTTCTGTGAGGTCTGGTCGGAGCTGCTGGTGCCATGTTTTGGGGGGCAGTTTACCTTCCCAGCATGAGATGATGGCCTGCTGGAAGCTGGGAAGAAGAAACGACTTAAAAATAACAAGTTAGAGAAATGAAATTAAGTCAGGACATTGGGTCCTCCATTCAATCTCCCAATTAAAAAAGCCCTGTTATGCTGGATATGGTGATGCACACCTGCAATTCCAGCACTTGGGAGGGTGAGGCAAGAGGTTTGCCACGAATTTGAGACCAGCCTGGGCTACATAGGGAGTTCAAGGCCAGCCTAAACCGCATAGTGAGACCCTGTCTTAAAACCAAACCAAACCAAACCAAGAAACAAACAAAAATACTGTTACTTGATGTTCCTAAAATCTCCTTCTTTTTCAAGAACTTCTTGTTGTCATTAGACTATGAACAGGTACACTAACAATAAGTTCTATTTTTCATTCATCTGTGAATGTCTTTATTTCCCTTAATTTCTCAGAGATAAAAAATTCACAGTTGATGGTTCCAATTCTTTTCTTTAGCCCATGAAAAATGTTGTGGCACTGTCTATTCCTTACATAGTTTCTGGTGCAAAATCTGAAATCAGAATTGACTTTTCCCTTATAGATAAAGTTTTGTTTTCCCTTTTTGCTGCCTTCAAGCTATTTGCTTTGGGGGTTGGATACGTAGTTTAGTGGCAGAGAATTTGCATAGCATGCACTGTTTTCTTTGTCTTTAGTGTCTATAAGTTTCATTAATGTGTGTGTTTGCATAAGCTTCTTTAGGTTTATTTTATTTGAAGGCCATTTGGCTTCTTGAAATCTATTGTCAAATTTATGAAAATTTCAATAATCATTCTTCAAATACCTCTTCTCTACATCATCCTCTCTTAAAATTGAATTTGAACTTCATGAGTTTAGGTATTTTGGTATAGTCTAGGATATATGAGATAAAGAGAAAACCCAGGAGCATAACATTGAATTGTTCCTCAGACATTCAGGTTCACAGCCAATCTACCCCCTCTCCACCTATTATGTCCTGTGGTTTTCTTACATATAATTTTGGCCTTGTATGTTTCTTTCTTTCTTTTTTTCTGAGATAGGGTCTCATTATGCAGCTAAGGCTGGCCTTGAACTCACTGTGTGCAAAGGCTTGCCTCTAACTCATGGTGATCCTCCTGCCTCAGCCTCCCAAGTGCTGGCATTAGAGCTATGTACCACCATTCCTGGCAGTGATTTTTAACTGTGTTTATCAGAAGGATTACAGAGAAATGTGGCCTACTCTTTTTCGATTCCAGAAACCCACAAATTTTTATGCTTTTGAAATGATTATATTCGTTGCTTCAATGTGATAACATAGGAGAGTAGATCTCTAGTTTCTATTTTCGAGCTAACTTCTTTTTATATTCAATGGGTACAGTCTCTCCTCTCTCTCTCTCTCTCTCTCTCTCTCTCTCTCTCTCTCACAGTGGCTTTTGAAGTACTGGATGTATCTTAACTGGCTTAGAACTTCAGTTAGATAAATGCAATTTACAGATCTGGAAAACATCAGTTAGAGCTTTCTTTGAAGATTTGTTACCATCGATAACCTGTTTCAAAGAAGGGACACATATCTTCTGTTTTAACCAGTGTCCTAAAAGTATACAAATGGCCCTCAGCAAATTATCAAGAAATTAAAAGTATTTTTGCTTCCAGTTCTTGTACTGTCCAATGATGACAGAGTCTACTATTGAACAAATACACTGAAAACTAGGCTCTGTCAAAAGCTTTTCCTTTCCCATTGTGAAATAAATTGTAAAATCTATGTTGTGACCACTTCATAAGGTTAGCTCCCATTGTATATACACACATACCACATCTACAACATTGTTGGGGGCTCCACTGTCCAGTAGTAATAAATATAACTTACAGTTTTCTAGTAGTTATATTACCATAATATGATCAATAAAAAGAATTACGAGTAATACATTTTACATCTTTTAAATACTATTTTTCATACTTATAAGATAACTTAATTTGGATGAACCCTGTTTCAGGTTCTTAACAGCTACGTGGGACTAGTGGTCAGTGTTTTGAAGTGCTGTGTTTCAAGATCAGACACTTGTATCCTTGGAATTACAGTGTTGTATGAAAGCAGAATCTCCTTCTTTCTTTACTCATCCTGGCCTTCACCCTTTCCCTACCTCAGGGAAGTTTCACTACCATCTCTGGAGTCCTGTGGTTCTCTCTGTTTCCTTGCCACACTAGATTTTCAGGCCTTGCTTTTAAATTCCACATGCCTGACATATAGGTAGTGGCTGAGCTATTTAGGGACCCTCTTGGCATTGTGCTGGAACAAAGGCTGAGACAACAAAATAACCCCCTCCAAGCACAATGGCATTTGGTTTGCAGCATGATGTTTTATTTCTGTATACTTGTGCTCTGTTTAAAAGACCCATCGTGTGACACTGATAAAACCAGGGAGTCAGAATATTTGCATGAAATGAGCAATTATTTCCAATACATAAAGCTGTATAAGCCTTCTAGGTTTACTTGTTCTCAGACAACTAAAATTACTAATTTGGGAGGCCACATTTGGGTAATACAGTATCAGTTTCCCACTAGCTCTGCTGTAGACAACATCTCTTGACATGTGGGTTATGGCAAGTACTATTACAGAGCCCAAATGAGTAATAATAGAGAAAAAACTTTGCCTCTACATAATGAAACCTCAGTACTGAAAAGAATAATTTACTGATTTTGAGGTACTTGCTGACAGGATGTCAAGTTATTGTACAAGTAGCAGATGCCATGTGCTTATTGATTTGCTTGACTCAAAATAATATGGATAATGGAAGACATTTTTCCCATCCATGACTCAATATACTATAGATTCTTGATGTGACTGGATTTATTCATTTTCTCCCACTTTTCCATTGTGACATTTAAAGAGGGAAAACAACGCTCGACAGAGAAGTATGTGTTAAATGTTGTCTACTCAGAAATTATCCTATTTATTTCCAAAACCCTAGCTGCAATCTTGAAAAGGACCAGTGGCCAAAAGTCAATGAACATATATACTCCCGCTCTGTTTAAGAAGTTCTGAGACTATCAAACTGATCTAGTTATTGGTATTCAAGGAGAGTATCATCAAGCTAAACATCGGTGATTGGGTAAAACACAAACCTCACGTCAGAGGGAAGGAATATATGCAAATGAAGGATGCAAATTACAATTTTTTATTGGTTACTTTGCGTTAGCCAATGGGAGAATAGCATACAGCCTACCTCCACTCACTATAAATACTTCTCATACCACAGGTCTCAGTGGTAGTCCTTTTGCACTTTCCTACGGAAGCGTGTTCTCTTCTGTGAAGATAGTGATGTCTGGACGCGGCAAGCAGGGCGGCAAGGCTCGCGCCAAGGCCAAGACGCGCTCCTCCCGCGCCGGGCTGCAGTTCCCCGTGGGCCGCGTGCATCGCCTGCTCCGCAAGGGCAACTACGCCGAGCGCGTGGGCGCCGGCGCCCCAGTGTACCTGGCGGCCGTGCTGGAGTACCTGACGGCTGAGATCCTGGAGCTGGCGGGCAACGCGGCGCGCGACAACAAGAAGACGCGCATCATCCCGCGCCACCTGCAGCTGGCCATCCGCAACGACGAGGAGCTCAACAAGCTGCTGGGCAAGGTGACGATCGCACAGGGTGGCGTGCTGCCTAACATCCAGGCCGTGCTGCTCCCTAAGAAGACCGAGAGCCACCACAAGACTAAAGGCAAATGAGTTGGCACTGTATTTTTTACGAGCGACAAAAATCACGCTAATAACAGGCTCTTTTCAGAGCCACCCACTATACTAAACTAGCTGTTACACTTGTTATACTTGAACCTTCAGCATGAGATAAAAAGGAGTTTTACTTGTAGTACAGCAGTCCAATTCCATTTGGATCTGAAGGATTTTAAGTTGTGTGGGAGGAGATGGCAGGAAAACATTACTGTGCAGTTCACTATGACGCACAAAAAAGGAGCACTGCGTTTTAAGTCATTACTAGGTTAAAATGTCAAGGAGCCTCCATATTTCACCTGTTCTAAAGTTTAAAGAGACATATTTGCTTAAGTAAATTAATCAAACCTTAACACTTTACACTTAGGAGCAATTTTTCCAAAATATTTTCCCAGTTTCTGACAATACCCTACCTAAAAAAAATTAAAATGTGCCCCAAAAGCAGGTTGATTTCCCCAGTCGCCACAACATATCCTTGCTTTCAGTCATAATCTATTGGAGGTTTATATGTTCCTTTGTGTGCTTTCCTTATTTTAATTTCTAGAGGTCACAATCTTGCTGGGCTGGGTTTTTGTTCACAGTTGCTATAGAAACAAAAGAATGTAATGACGTCAAAGTAGCGACAGTGAAAAGTAGGTTGTTGTTTTGGTTCACCAAACTCAATGCAGCTCTCAATTCGGGGACATAGCAAGAAGACGGACCAATCAGAGAAAAGCGCGCAAAATTTTGAATGGTTTTGGGTCCAATCATTGATAGTCTGCTTCTATAAAAGCAGGGTGGCTCTTGTTTCCTGTAGTCTTTGAAGACATTTCTGGTGAAGCCATATGGCTCGTACGAAGCAAACCGCTCGAAAGTCCACCGGCGGCAAGGCCCCGCGCAAGCAGCTTGCCACCAAGGCTGCTCGCAAGAGCGCGCCGGCCACTGGCGGCGTAAAGAAACCGCACCGCTACCGACCCGGCACCGTGGCGCTGCGCGAGATCCGCCGCTACCAGAAGTCTACCGAGCTGCTGATCCGCAAGCTGCCGTTCCAGCGCCTGGTGCGCGAGATCGCGCAAGACTTCAAGACCGACCTGCGCTTCCAGAGCTCTGCAGTCATGGCGCTGCAGGAGGCGTCCGAGGCCTACCTGGTGGGGTTGTTCGAGGACACCAACCTGTGCGCCATCCACGCCAAGCGAGTCACCATCATGCCCAAGGACATCCAGCTCGCCCGCCGTATCCGTGGGGAGAGAGCATAAATTAAGTGTTAAGACTCTAAAACCCAAAGGCTCTTTTAAGAGCCACCCAATTATTTCAAGGAAAATAGCTGTAACCATATAAACGGAATCTGGAAATAGTGAAACTCAGTAGCAAACAGTCTTTGTCTAATTTTATTTTGGTAAAAGTAGGTGGGCGTTTCCCGAGTAGCTTGATATCCTTCATACTGGGTATAGTGGCTTTGTGTGCAATATTAATGATTAGGTTTTGCTGACTGATTGCCTTGTGTCTAATAACCTTCCTGTGCAACAAAAGTAGTTTGTGCCTGTAAAATGGGAGTTTACAATTTTAGAGTGATTACTTTTTTTGCTTTGCTTTCCAGAATTTTGTGACTAAACACTGGAGTAAAAGTGATTTGGAGGGCACTAGTTTATATCTTTGAGAAGAAAAATAAGCTGACTTCTGCTTAACTTTTACAGTGTATTTCTTTTGACATTTTTGAAGTTTAGAACAAGTAAACATTGCTGAAACTTGAGACCCACCAATTCTTTTCCCCCGAGGTTTTAAGGCCTCTTTTCTACAACTCAGTTGTTCATTTGTGTACTATGCAATGCAATGGTTGTACCCTTGCAAATGTGCACCATTACAAAACACTAAAGTATAGTTTGTATAGATTTACGTGTGTGTTGGGGTTTTAATAAAGCAACTTTTGGTTTATGAAATAGTATTTGTATATTTTAAGTGGTGAAAATAAAAGTTCGTGTGTATGTGTGAGTGTGTGAGTGTGTAGAATTTTTCTAGACTAGAACAAGCAACTGCTTGGCAGACAACTGTCATCCATAGGTGTCAGAATTGGTTACTTGTCCTATCCAAAGTGCCTGCGTTCCAGCTCTAGGCCCCTGCTGAAGGGCCGTATTTCAGTATTCTGGTTATAGCCATGCTGGATCTGTTATACAGTGTTTGACACACACTCTCTGCCAAAAAAAAGTGCTTTAGGTACAGGTTCTGAAGGGAGTATTGCCAAAGTTCTCAATATGTCCCAGGGTCAGCTGTACAGGAGCAGTGTCTACTGCTACTCAGCCTGGCTACTTTTGCTTGTGGACTTGATTTTTCCTTTTGGGCAAGTGCAAAACACAGATTCTCCTTTCAGTTTTCATTTACTTGGAGTCTTCAACAATATAGAACAATGTAAGTAAATAAATAAAATTTTAGCACCACTAGAATTCACGACTCTGCTAGAATCATCATAGGAAGATTAGAAGTTGGCCAGAAATAGTATCATTTGGTGGTACTTTGTTTAGGTTTAAATCTCATCCACGCTACCTACTTTATCATCTAAGACAAATAAATTTGTCCATCAGAAAAATGGAGGTAATATTTAGAAGATTGTAATGAAGACATGAGTCTATTTTGCAGACATCAAGAATTACAGAAATATTAATTATTCTCAGCTGTATATTATTTATACCCTAGGATTAAAAAAATTTTGACATGACCTAAATTTTAGATTCTGAACTTTTCATTTGGTCTTAGTTTCATAGATTCTGCTTTAATCTATGTTTAGAAATTAATCTGTCTAGAAATAAAATTTCTGTATACTTTTATAAATCAAGGTATGGAAAAACAATCCACATTTATGAAAACAACTCAATGAGCATTTTTCATGAAGAGCATTGCCAGTATTTTATCATTGCATGAGGCACCTGTTACTTTGTATTAGGATAGTGATTAAGGTGGGCTGGAGAGAAAGACGGACAGACATGCTACTCCCAAATTGCCACTAATATAAAAGGATTATTTTAAGCTAAAGACACTTCAAATATAGTGATGCAAAGAGTGCATTCTTATAGGCCTTTTTCTTTTTAAAAAGAAAAATATTTCCTTGTGAAAGATGTCCTCATTTTACTAGGAGAAAAGAAATATTCTTCAGGAGGGTGTAATCAAAGAGTTTGTACAAACAGCAGGAAGTCATAACTGAGAGAATTTTCTTAAGATACTGCCTTTCTTCAGCTTCTTCACATAGTTTATTTTAAAATTGCCTCTATTCAACTTAGTATAAAAACAATTAGGTCTTGCCATTTATTTAGGACTTAGTTTCACGAAGGCTACCCTGTCCATAAAAATATGACATACATTTGTATTCCTTATTTTTATTTATTTATTTATTTTTAAAACAGTGTCTTGCTATGTAGCCCAGGCTGGGTTTGAACTCATAGCAATCCTGCCCCGGCCACCTGGGACTACAGGCATGTGCTACCACGCCCAGCTGCTTATATGCTTTTAATCTGTTTTATGAGAAATCAATTCTCATGTTAGCTCCAGACCCTAATAGGATAGAGGTAAAGTCTTACCTTATATGTGTTAAATGTTGGTTGTTCAAGGGCTTAGGTAAAACACAGTTTTTCTTTTCCAGAAAGTAATCACAAAGTAATACTATACCACAAACTGATGTATATTCCTGGAGTCTCAAACCAGTTTTGATCAGAGAATTGTGTGAAAAGAACAAAATTCTCAGAGAAGGGAAATAACTCAAATTCTATGTGATTGTTCAGATTTAAAAATTTAGTATTAGCCCATGCAATTTTTCAAATAGTAAATGGCTTATTAATTAACAAGTGTTAGGGATCTATAACACAACATTGAAATTCCATATGCAGATTTGGAAATCTGAACTTCATTCCAGGTTTGGCTGGGAGAATGCTGGAAAGAAGCATCAGAATACTGTGGGGAAGAGAACAAAGAAATATTTTTGGACAATCATTTTAAATATGTCACATATAAAGCAAATTGTCAGCATCTCGTGCTTTACTATATACTGTTATTTTTAAAAACCCTCACAAGTGTATACATATTTGCTGCTAGTGACCCTATGCAGCAAGTAAAAATTCTAAAAGGAAGTGAAAGCAGTATCCCAATTCTAAGTGCACGTTAAAAGTAACAGCTAAAAATAGCCATATTTATATCGCACCCCTTTGTTTTCTCTAACATTTTGTTTACGTTCAGCTAAACCAAATTCTCACAGAAGGGCAATAGTGTAATTACTACCTTGGTGTTAGAAATATAAAAAAGTCATGGCATAGTTCCAAGGTCACAATTGTCTCTTCAATGAGAAAGTCAGATGTGTAAGGGTGGCAAAACTTCACCATCCTATTGGGGTTCAAATTGGACCCGGAAATTAAAAGAATAGGACAACCACAAAAAGGCATAGAACTGTATTTAATACGTGTTATGTAGCACAGGAACCCTATTATAGTAACGGTGACCTAGAGGATAGGGAGGCACTTACATGCTGAATTGGATCAATAACTGCAAACAAAATGTGACAAGGTAAAGGGCCTTGGAAATGACGAAGAAGGGTGGTTTACACAACGAGGTTCATTTGCATAGAATTCTCTCGGTCTCTATTCCTGTCCTTTATAAAAAGAATGTTGCTTGTTTGCCCTCCTCCCCAGTATAGGGAAAACATCAATCACATGGGAATTTCAACTTCAGCTTCCATGAAACAGCAGTGACCTTTCTATATGTTTTTAATCTGTCTACATCACCAATACACCAGAATGGTATATTTCTCCCTCCTTCATGTGCTTTGTCATTAATACTGAAGCCCTTAGTAAAATTCTTTGGCGATGATAAAACTACAAGTTCAAACAGCAGTGTAGTCAACGTGAGGGGGGAAAAAAAATCAGTAACTAAAGCCAGAAAGTATTTACCGTGTTTGCTCTCACAGGCCTCAGGTCACAGCCCAGAGAAGGGCGGAGCTAAGGGGATGGCGCCAGCACCTCCAGCGCCCCTCCTGGTTGTAGTTCTCAATTAGGTCCGACAGCATTTTATATCTACCCAGGTTACACTGGAGCATTTCACTCGTTCCAACCACTGTCTGCGGAGAGTTCGCCATGTCTGGACGCGGCAAGGGAGGCAAAGGCCTTGGTAAAGGCGGCGCCAAGCGCCACCGCAAGGTGCTACGCGACAACATCCAGGGCATCACCAAGCCCGCCATCCGCCGCCTGGCCCGCCGCGGCGGCGTCAAGCGCATTTCCGGCCTTATCTACGAGGAGACGCGCGGAGTGCTGAAGGTCTTCCTGGAGAACGTGATCCGCGACGCTGTCACCTACACGGAGCACGCCAAGCGCAAGACCGTCACGGCCATGGACGTGGTCTATGCGCTCAAGCGCCAGGGACGCACGCTCTACGGCTTCGGTGGCTGAACTATTTAAATTTCTTTCGCTATTTCCCCAAAGGCCCTTTTCAGGGCCGACCACTTTCTCCTCAAAAGAGCCTTGTTTTACTGTCTGAGTCCAGGTTACGGTCAGGGTGCTCTTAAGCCACGCTTCCCTAGTGCGTGACTCTTACCTTTGCCCAAGAAATAAGAATGCGGGCCTAGTCACCCTTACAGTGGGGGTGCCCAGTCCCCGCTATGTGCACCTAGGAGGTTGAGTTCCAATGCCGTGTGAACTACCCCATGCCTGGTGTTCTGGGAAGCTGTCTTTTAGCTAGAAAATAGCTCGGACCTCAGAAACGTGGGGTATAAATCCGTGTATTAAATGGCAGTTGGAAAATACTGGGTAGGATTTGTGCTGAACATTTAGAATGTTCCATGGAGTGTACATAAGTACTATATGTCACCTAAAATTGAAGTGTATTGGGAGACAGGTTGTAGGTAAGTACAATTCTATTATATGTAAGGTACTTTGGCACTTGCGGTGTCACAGATACAATGTAGGATGGCAGTGAATAGTTCAGTTGGAAAGCTAAGAACTTCACAATTTAGTGTAGCATTGTTAGTAAATGAGCAGAAAAAGTATTAGAAGTAGGTAAATAATGACGATTCCCAAAGTGTAATATCATATAGTCCTACTAAAATGAAAATTATACTCCGTGATAAATACATGGAGTTTTTTATATTTTGGCATGGTTCTGGGCGATTTATTGTTATCGGCAGTGAAGTCCAGTTTCATTACTTATTTGTTCTGTGTTTAGTGAAATAGTTTATATTACAGCTATTCCATGCTAGTTTGTAGCAAGGCCAAAGCCTATGGTGGCAGTCCAGTGCAGCTATTTCTCATCCCAGTGTTTTTTTTTTTTTTAAACAAAGTGCCCTTAACCACATCTCTATATTCTATAAATTTGCTTCCACCCACTTCCACCTTCATAAAAAAATTAAAAATACTGGTTACCATATAAATCATTTGTGACCTTCCCCTAATGGCCAGACACATTCAATTGCCTAATGTATCTACTCGAATATCTAATAAGCATACCAGACTTGTCTAAAAGTTACTTTGACATATAAATCCAAATCTTTTTTTTTTCGTTATTCTCCATTTCAGTAAATGGAACTCCATTCTTCCAGCAAGTAGGCTAGAAATCTTGCAGTCCTGTTTCATCCAATTTTCTCACTATTCCATCGTATCCTGTTAGCTCTGCACCCCAAATCCACTTCCAGTCCTTCTGCTCCTGCTTCTCTCGGGGAAGCCAATCATCTTTTGTCTAGATGGCTGCAATGACCTCTAATCTTTTTGTTTTCCCCTTTATGCCACCCTCCTAGTTTCTTCTCGATCTAGCAGTAAGAGTATTCCTGACTTCATGAAAGATATTCATGTCTTTCTTCTGCTCAGAATATTTCCAGTGATTTCCACTGTCTTCATAATACTCCAAGTGCTAGGGTCCTTTATTACAGCTCAATAATAGGGTGATCAATCATTCGAATCTGCCGAAGTCCTAGTGGTTTCTCAGGACTTTCAGTGAGTGCTAAAAACTGGAAAGTCCCAGCCAAACAGGGAGGAATTGGTGAACCTACCTAGGTCCTACTAGATCTGGCTTCTGGCTTTTCCTTTGACCTCATTTTCTATTGCATTATTATTTGCTGATCTTGCTATTTTTTGAATGGAATGAAACATCAGAGTCAGAATTTTAATGCATTTTTCTGTCTGGAAATGTTTTATAATGGATATCTGCTTCATTTCTTTCAGGATTCAGCTCAAATATACAGCTCACTAAAGAGACTGCCTCTGACCATATTTTGTAAAATAATACACCGTTTTACTCACTTTTGTAAATAGCACACATATGTGCTATTTTATCTATAACAATATATTCTTAAATTTTATTTTGTTTACAATTCTGTCTTCCTCAACTAGAATGTTATTCTTTAAGAGTGAGAACTTTTGTTTCTGAAGTTTCAGTAGCACACAGAAGAGTGCTAAAATCTAATACGTAGTCTATGGGAGTTTATCAAATGCATATATGTATGATTTTTTAAACAAGTCTCCAAGGCTGCCTCCTCTAGGCCTACAAGAGTGTTACCACAACTGATTTTGCACTCAGCATGGCAGTTTCTCTTTAGGTTTAAGGGCTGGAGCAGGGATTGCAAATCAAGCAAGAATTGCATGAAAGCTTTGAAGAAGGCTTAGAGGTTTCTACTCATGGTGGCGGTAGGTATGACTAAAATGACTATGGTGCTGTCAGCACTGGTCTGAAATACTGTAAAAACATCAGTTACAGAATGATGGAAGCCAGTGGTGACTGCATACCTCACATACAGGAGATCTGTGTCTGCCAGTCTGCATTGACTCAGGTTATGAGGAATTCTCAGGGAATTCTCATTTGCTCACTGGCACATTGCACAAGCAATTAAATATTTCTTAAAAGAACATCAGCTAAAAAGGATAGAAAATTACAATATTTCCTGCTAGGCCCATTTCTGCTAGTCTGACTCCAGAAATGTTGAAATTATCTAGGATGTAGCTCTGAATTCCATTGTCAGTTTTAAATTAAACCAAACGATACTTTCATCATTCCCCAACAAATTTTAAATGACCACTGTCAGGTGGAAAATGATCTTCGAATCAAGGAGAGACACCCACGCAAAAGCAAGCATACTGAGGCTAAAATCAGTCGCTTATAAAAAAATGATACCAAAAAGAGCCCCTTGAGAAGCATTTGAGTATCTCTTCAGATAAGAATGTTTCATTAGCCCTCAAGTGAGTTCACATCTTTTTTTAAAGTGAGTTCTGAAATCTGATACATATTAGTAGATCACATAATTGGATTAGAGATCCTTTAAAATTCTGTGCTACAACGAGACAATGCCTATGCAGTATTTCTGAGTCTAGCACATGAGGACATTAACAGCACCTCTCATCTGCTTTCCTGTCTTCATGGTTGTTTTTTTTTTTCCATTTACATAGCTTTTTGAGATACAGTTTACCAACATAAAATTCACCCACTTTAGGTAAACAATTGAATGAATTTGTTGTATGTTCTGGTTGTACAGCCATCATAACTAATTGTAGGAATTACCTAATTTCCATTCTGTTTCAAAGAATAAGTGTGTATGGTTGATTCCTTAGGGGTGTGTTGACACTGAGAAAGGGATGCATCTTTTCTCTCTAAACCAGGTTTTGATTTCCCTGCATCCAGTTTGAGGCTATTCTGGCAGTCGGAATCTGGTTTCCACTTCTAGTTGTCTCTACCGAAATAAATCATTTTATTGGTGGCTAAAACCTCTGTGTTGTTCTCAGCACATGAATGAGAGGAATTTACTCCTCTACTTCACACTCGGTAAAGTAATTTTCTGTAGAACAGAGCCTACCACTTTCTCATCCCCCTTCCTGCTGTTGCTGGCCTCCGGGAACATTAGGTCATTGGTTCTGATTGGCTGACAAGAGCTCGCTGATAGGGTTGCTTTTCTTTGTTCGGTAAACTGACATGGTCCTTACAACACGTCCTTTTTGTTTAAATCTTCCTAGTCTGACATAGTGAACGGAAGGAACTAGTGGATAAATACTTGAGTAACTAATATGGGTAATAGGGTTTAATTGTTTCCACTCCCACAACCCTGGCACACATTTTACTCTGGAGTTGTTTGGCTCGGCGTTACAGCCCTTTTTGAGCAGTTGGGCGGCCCTGAAAAGGGCCTTTGTTCAAAAGTACAAGCGGTGGCAAAAATCAGAAAACCTCAGCCGCCGAAGCCGTAGAGCGTGCGTCCCTGGCGCTTGAGCGCGTAGACCACGTCCATGGCCGTGACCGTCTTGCGCTTGGCGTGCTCCGTGTAGGTGACAGCGTCACGGATCACGTTCTCCAGGAAGACCTTCAGCACTCCGCGCGTCTCCTCGTAGATGAGGCCGGAGATGCGCTTGACGCCGCCGCGACGGGCCAGGCGGCGGATGGCGGGCTTGGTAATGCCCTGGATGTTGTCACGCAGCACCTTGCGGTGGCGCTTGGCGCCGCCTTTACCAAGGCCTTTGCCTCCCTTACCACGTCCAGACATAACTCCTTAGAAGAAGCAGCAAGTGAGAGTGTAAGACCGAGGCAGTCCGTTTATATCTACGCTCCCTCCCCGCCCCCCACGCCTAGCTTCTGCAGGGGCGGAGAAAGGTGAAGGCGGGAAATGTGACGCTAACAGTCCCCGCCCCCAACCCGCCTCCAAACCCCAGGAAATCTCAGGAACTGGCAGTGGCAGGCATCAGTTACTGTTCTTTCCTGAATTTGGAAGGGAACTGGTTTAAGCACTGTAAATACCTTTAGAAGCAAATCTCTCACAAGCAACTCGATTTTGATTATAAAAAATACTTTATGAAGATAGAACTGATCAGGTTAAAAGCCAGATTGTCATTTCTTATATCCAACCACGTTGCTTTACATAATTTGACATCCGAAACTACCTAACTCACTAAATGCAGATTCCTCTAGCCCCGCTAAAATCCTCTGCGTACATACTGGAAAACACCCAGTATCCGACAAACTGCTTATACATCGTTTTCCATGCTAAAGTAGAATTCCGGTCGACCTAGTGACATTTACAGCTATTTTACTTGAAAATGTGGGTGGCTCTTAAAAGAGCCTTTTCAATTGCAGATTGGTTTATGCCCTCTCCCCACGGATGCGGCGCGCGAGCTGGATGTCCTTGGGCATGATGGTGACCCGCTTGGCGTGGATGGCACACAGGTTGGTGTCCTCGAACAGCCCCACCAGATAAGCCTCGCAGGCTTCCTGCAGCGCCATAACCGCAGAGCTCTGGAAGCGCAGGTCAGTCTTGAAGTCTTGCGCGATCTCGCGCACCAGGCGCTGGAACGGCAGCTTGCGGATCAGCAGCTCCGTGGACTTCTGGTAGCGGCGGATCTCGCGCAGCGCCACGGTGCCGGGTCGGTAGCGGTGTGGCTTCTTTACGCCTCCAGTGGCCGGCGCGCTCTTACGAGCAGCCTTGGTGGCAAGCTGCTTGCGCGGGGCCTTGCCGCCAGTGGATTTGCGAGCGGTTTGCTTCGTACGGGCCATGAACACACTTCGTGAGACTCTCAGAACTATATACACTACTCGTAACGGGGCGCATTACCTTTATTTATAGTATGTACCGTGTGGTGATTGGATGACAACAATGTGTCCTTATGAGGTAACAGGCTCTGATTGGTTTGTTTTAAAATGTCCTACTACCGTGCAGTTTCATTGGTTACTCTTTTCAATCCCTTGTTCTTTTCAGGTTTTTCTCTTCCCTTTTCTGCATTTCATCTTCATAAATTAAAAGCACGTTTTGTTTTTATAAAATTTGACATTGATTTCCATGATAATTGTAATAAACCAATTCTGTTTTGGGGAAGATGGGGATAAATAGTGCCTATCCACTCTGGAAATATCCCATTTGTACTTCACTTGTTCATTTGTCTGATATAGGGTTAGTTTCTGATATCTTTTGCAAAAATCGGATTCCTGTAATGTTTGCACTGAGCAAACATTGAGCTGTTATGGAACCCTAGACATCATGTTTAGTAAAATTACATCATCGCTCACAGAAACATTTTCTGTAGTAACACATGTCAATGTTAAATGCTCACGCTCCTCTGAATTGTAGATTTGGAGCCTTTTGAAAGCTTTTTTTCTATTAAGGCCTAGCGCATACACAGGTGCAAAATGGCGGTCTGTCCTGTTTCCCGCCCAGTGGCGGGTCAATGGAGCGCGCCATTCCAATCAGCCCGGTTAGACCTGATGGCTAGGGGCATAATTTAGTTTGGGAAAGCAGACCATACCTGTGGGAAACATTAAAATGTGGGTTCTTCAGAGCTAACAGGAGGTAGAACTGATTCAGTGTTTTGATTGGTTTATTCCATTCTCCCATATGTCCATTGAGAAAGCAGTTCTAGCATCCTTCATTTGCGTAGGAACTTGCAGATTTTTTTTTTTTGCGGGGGGAGGGGCGGGAAGCCACGGTTTAACATAATGGAAACAAAGGAGGCAGACACAGCTATTTAAATAAGAAAATCACACCGAAACAGTTCCAGTCAGATAATTCTGTGTATCCGTAGAGAAAGCTTCGTTTGGTTAGATGCTGTTACTGTAGGAAAAATTTGTTACAAAAAGGACTTACTTAAAAATCTGACAATCTTGTCCATGTTATTTTGTAATTCCTATCTTTCAAACAGAGATGCATAATTTTGTTTCCATTTACTTCGTTCCACATTCTTGGAAATTCTGTAATAATTTGAAAAGACAGCTTCCAATAAAATGACAAAATGAACAAAATGCTGGATTATTACGTTATTTATTGAGTTCCTAGGCTGCCGGGGACTTTGAAAACCGACAGTGTAGATGGGAAGAAGTCCACTGCCTTGTTCTCCCAAGCACTAGGCCCTTACAGTCGGCCTGTGGAAGAGGATGAGGATTTAGTAGCATTTTATTTTGTTTACAGCCATTGCTCCACAACGAGAAATCATTTTAGCATGTTAAAAGAAGAGCGTCCTAAAATCTTACGGCTGGGGTGTGGCCTTCTCATTTTCACACAAAAGGGATCTAAACTCTTGGGACAATGCCTCTCACAGAACCGGCTCATCCACCTATCGTTTAATGCCTGAACTAGGCTCACTTGTGAGCCCTGTAAATTGGAGTCGCGTGATGAAGAAATTGTCAGTGCGCTGGCATTTTACGTGCTGAGGTGGAAGAACTCACTTCGGGAATGTTGTAGGGGTGATGGCACTGCAAACCTGTAGAATGCGTTGGACTGCAAGAAAAGACGAAGTTACAACTGTGGAAATGCCACATGTGCAGCTAGTGACAATTGCGTTTACTGGATTATGCAGTTTTGATTCATTTTTCTTTGCCCAAAACATGGGGGGGGGGGCACCAGACAGTTCTTTAGCGTGACAGGAGCAATTGCATGCCTGAATACCAGTCCTAAACGCACTCAAGGCCAACACCCGAGCTGCTCTTGCTGTCTCCACTTATCCAAGATGTGCTCTTTTTCATTCCTAGAGAACTAGACGCGAACATTCCCGCCGAGGCATCTAGTAACTTCAATCTAAGTTCCTCGTAGGAGATTGCCTGCCTGCTTGCCTTTACAAAGAGCTGCCTCTTGCCCCCGGAAGGATTTTTGAGAAGGAGATACCTCTTTCTAAAGTTACCAGGCGGCCTAGCCCACCTTGGCTCTGCCTAAATCTCTACTTTAGCGAGTCGACTGGACCAGATTTCGGGCTCGGTTATAGGGCCTCTCCGAAACCCGGGAAGGTCGGTGGCGGCGCCGGGAGCTCTGCGGTGTGGGGCGGTGCCAGCGAGCACCAATCACGGTGCAGCCCCGCTCTATAAATAGGCGGTGCTTGGTCTCTCACTCATTCCTGTTCAGTAGGTCTTCTTTCTGCTCTTTTGCTTTCTCAGTTGCCATGTCCGAGACGGCGCCGGCTGCACAGCAGGCCTCAACGGCCCCGGAGAAGCCAGCGGCTGCCAAGAAAGCCAAGAAACCTGCGAAGACTCCAGCAGCCGTTAAGAAGCCTGCGGGCCCCTCGGTGTCAGAGCTCATTGTGCAGGCCGTGACCGCCTCCAAGGAGCGCAGTGGGGTGTCTCTGGCCGCGGTCAAGAAGGCGCTGGCGGCCGCCGGCTATGACGTGGAGAAGAACAACAGCCGAATCAAGCTGGGGCTCAAGAGCCTGGTGAGCAAAGGCACCCTGGTGCAGACCAAGGGCACCGGCGCCTCCGGCTCCTTCAAGCTCAACAAGAAAGCGACCCCTAGCGAGCTCAAGCCCAACACCACGAAAGCGGCGGCAAAGGCTAAGGCGGCAGGCGCTCCCAAGAAGTCAAAGAAGGCTCCCGGGGCAGCCGCGAAGAGGGCGGTCAAGACTCCGAAGAAGGCTAAGAAGCCTCCGCTGGCAAAGAAGCCTTCCAAGAGCCCGAAAAAGCCTAAAGTCGTAAAGTCCAAGAAAGTAGCCAAGAGCCCCGCTAAGGCCAAGGCCGTGAAGCCCAAAGCATCTAAGGTCAAGGTGACTAAGCCCAAGCCTGCCAAGCCCAAGAAGGCAGCACCCAAGAAAAAGTGAGCAGTCTGGTTGGAAGGTCCTTCCGGTAACCCAACGGCTCTTTTAAGAGCCACCATTACGCAGTTCAGGAAAAGAGCTTTGCACACGTTAGCGGTTATACAGCGTTCAGGTGGTGAACTGTTGTTATATTTCCGTTAATCTGGAGCCATCTGAGCTTGACGTTTTCAGGGTTTAAAGGGTCACCAGTTTTGGAAGTGAGTAAATCCTTACTTCCCTACACATTAGAGTCACCTGGGGGACTTCTGGGAGAGCCCAAGCCCTAAACTAGCCAAAGGTTATTAGGGCAAACTAGGCCCAGGCTCCGAGGGTGTACCACGTGCTTCTTGCCTGCACAAATTTGTGTTAAGATCAAAGGAAGGATGTTGCTTTCTTGATAACTCTAAAAAGTGGGGGTGATAGAGCCACAACCTCCCTGTACATGCGGGTGGCTAAGGCTGCCCTCGGGAGTGCCAGTGGTCCGCAGCTGTGGCTGGTGTCCCGGAGACCCACCTCTGGCTACGCCAATAGCTACAGCTAAGAACAAGGGTCGTTTTGATGGGCGGTGCCCTAACCTGAGTGGGCTGGGAGGGCGCGTCAGGATTTGAGACCTTAGTTGTAAAGGAGGCTTAGACTTGATGGGGTGTTTCAAAATTCATTAAATGTTTTTTAGAATTGAGAAGCATATAAACTAAAATACTAAATGTAAATGTCACTGAACACAAGCGATTGACTAGTCAAAAAAAGAACATCTGCCAACCTGCCCAGTGTCCTGACATTTGCTTTCTGTTACTAATTCTTTCATCTTCCTTGAAAATGATCACTATCTTAATTTCCAGCACTAATGTATCATTTTTGAAACATAAAATGGAAATAAAACTATATAGTATTTCAGAGCCTTAGATTTGAACAGATTCATGTAATGTGTATAACTTTAATTCATTTTTAATGAATTAAATTTAATTCACCTTAATTAATGCACCACAGTCTAGGCATCTAGTCCTCCTCTGATGGATATCTGAGTTCTTTCTAGTTATTACAAATAATGTGAACATTTTTGTGCATGTCTTAAGTGTATGTGCACACACATCTGTTGTTTATATACCTTGGAACAGAATCATCTGATCTCTTTGAAAGTGCTATGAATGAAATATAAAACCACAGCTCTAAAATGTTATGGTTAAACCTCACAAATTATTGAGTGAAATCTATATAGAGTTTCTGTAGTTACACATCCTTCCCAATATATTTTTTTTGTATTTTATTTTCTATTTGTTTTGAAGTAGGATTTTGTTTTACTTTGCTTTCTGTATTTTGCTTTTTGGGGTTTTTTGGATATTTTCTTTTTGGCATTGGGGATCAAACTCAGGACCTTGTACTTATGAGGCAGGCACCTGAACCACTGAGCTAAATCCCCAGCCCCTTGTATTTTGCTTTTATGAAACAGGTTCCCACTGTGTTGCTCAGGCTGGCCTTGAACTCATGTTCCTCCTGCCTCAGGCTCCCAGGTTACTGGGGTTTCAGGCCTGCACTATCCAAGACAGCTCTTAGTCTTTTTTTTTTTTTTTTGGTACCGGGGATTGAACTCGGGTCCTTGTGCTTGCGCAGCAGGTGGTGAAACCACTGAGCTAAATCCCCGGCCCTCTTAGTCTATTTAATGGGCCCATTAGGTAGGTGTGCAGGTCATTGTTTTTATTTTGTATATTTTGCTCCCCTACCTTATTAAAAAATTGGGTTGTGTGTTAGTCTGTGTGGACTGTTATAACTAAACACCACAGGCTGGGTAGTTTAAACAGAAGCTATTCTCACAGTTCCAGATGGCAGAAATCCCAGGTGGAGGTGCACGCTCTGGTAAGGGCTACCTAACTGGCTGCCAGTGGTCTCCTTGTCCCTTGTATTTATTCATGCCCAGAGAGAGTGAGCACCTGTCTCTTCCTCCTCTTATAAGGACACCAGATCTATGGGACTAAGGCCCCATCATTATGACATCATTTAACCTTAATTATCTCCCTAAAGCCCCAGTCTCTAACTCCAATTCATTTAGGGGTTACAGTTTCAATATGTGGGGTGGGGGTGCAATCCTGCTCATGACAGATTGTTTTGTTTGCTGGCTTAAAATAATTGTTTTTTTCTTTTTAATTCTGGCACAAGCCTTTTGCCCAGTATATTTTATGTGTTGCGGATATCTGTGACCTTTTCATTCTTTTAGAAATATCTTTTGATGAATTCATGCTAATTTAATATATTGTAAATTAATCACAGTGCTCTTTTATGCTAAAGCTTTTTTATGTCTTGAGTCATATTTTTGCTGAGGTTCCTTTTCCATATTCCTGTGAAATTAGGGGAGCAATCACAGTCCTCAAGACTACTCACACTTCTAACACCATTTTTCAATTTGCTGGAGGTAGATGTCCTAACTACCCTGCAGTTCAATAATTTGCCAGAAAGACTCATTATTTACCGTTAGTTTATTGCCGTGAAAGGACACAGATTAAAATCAGCCAATGAAAGAGGCACAGAGAACTGTGTAGGTACTGACCTGGCACCTGTTCTCCCCCCATTCTCAAGAAGACATGTTTAATTTCTAACTCCTAGTACCTCAAAATGTGGCCTGATTTGGAAATAGAGTTGTTGCAGATGTCATTATGAGGGCATGGTAGAGCAAGATGGGCTGGTGACTTAGAGGTACTGTTGTCCTTGTAAGATGACCATGTGAAGACAGACACACAGAGATTCATGCCATGGGGCGACAAAGGTAGAGACCATACTCATGCAGCTGTAAGTCAAGGAGTCCCACAGATTGCCAGCAAACCACCAGAAGCTAGGAAGAGCAAGGAATTCCCTTTCAGGGTTCAGGGCAAGCACACTTCTGCTGATTTTTGGACTCAGATTTCTAGTCTCCAGAACTGAAAGACAATAAATGTGTTGCTTTAAGCCACCCCAGCTTTTGGCACTTTGTTATAGAAGTCCTAGAAAACCACTTCAGGAACACTGCAGGAAAGTTCCAAATGTGAACTTCCAGGCTCCCCGCCACTGTGGTGCTACGAACAGTGTCGCTTCCCAGCATTAACACATGACAACACAGAGAGAGTTACTGGCAATCAAGGAAGCTCACAGGAGCTTCAGTGGCTGGAGTTTTTGTTAGAGTTCTATGGTTGTTTACTCACATGGCTGACCTTTAGTCTCCAGCCCTTCTAGAGGTTGAGCAGATACTGGTGACCTAAAATTCCCATTATAATCATATTGTTTATCTATTATAATCATATTGACTATCTGGGGCCAATGACTACAGGTAAATAAAGGGAGTCTTACCAGGTAGGACATTCCAAGGGCCTAGAGGTAACCTCCAAGAAGTTGAGGGCAAATAGCATATCTTTCTTTGGTTAAGGTTAAATTCCCACTGTATACTTTTAGAAGCTAGGCTTTACATTTAGATCTAGTGAGATTATTTTATGTGCATTGTGGTTTTATTTGAGTATATGTGGAGTGAATACTAATTTGTCTGAGAGCTGATTGTGGGCTATGGATGCTGGGACCCTGGTATTGGTATGTCTGTGGAGTACAATGTGGCTGAAGCTGTTCTGTCAACTGTAGTTGCTAGGATGAACCCTTGCTGTGGTGCAGATACAAAAACAAACAAAGCGAGTGAGAAGTCTCTCCTTCCAGCCCTTTCCTCCTCCAGGGCCACCTATTTGGAGAAAGTTGGTAACAAGGCCCCATCAAAGAGGATCGAAGAGAGTAGATACCTTCATGGTCAGGGTAGAATCATCACCTCTAATGATCTTGGGCTGCCTCATATTTCTTGCTGTTCCGTTTAGGTTTATTGTACTATTGTAAATACAGTATTAGATTCATTACATTCTCTTCCTATACTCTATTGCTTTAATTTCTTCTTTTTGGCATCCTAAGATGGCACTCTTTGATTTTACAGTAGCAAAAGAGTAAAGGATGGTAAACAGTTCATTCATTCTACTGTGATATTAGCATTCGGCTCTGATGCCCTCTATAGTTCCCATGAAGGGATATGTGGAAATGAGGTGACCCCTGAAAGTGATATAAGGGGTTGGGAAGAGCTCAGAGCTTAGAGAGCAAAATGTATGAAGCAATTGTCAGATAGCATATTGGTCCCGTGAAGGCAGAGCCTGCTTTTCACCAGGAGGTCAATACCTACACTGAAGCCAAACACAAAGTGGGTGCTTAGTAATATTAGTTGAATCAATGAAGTGGAAATAGAACAAATCTTAGAAACTCAGTAGGACTGATGGGCAAAGTAGAAAATCCAGGTGAAGTCTGTGCCCATGAATTTATATTGATCAAAAGTCCCAAATGTGGTACTTGTCTTCTTATGTGTTCAACCCTGTGGGTATAGGTGCAGGAAGGACAAGCTTGCTCACAGTCAAGGTACAGCTGTGTCTGGGAACTGGTAAAAACATGAAGAAAGAAATTGAGATCTGGAAATAGACTGTTTGGAGTACTAATGAGGGAAGGGAGTGGACATGAGACAGAACAAAGATCTACTCTTAAAGTCCTGTCTTTATACCATGCATATTCCCTTATCAGACGTAATTCTATCTTCAACTGTCACTAAAGTTTTGTTCCTTCTTTTATAGTCACTTTTTCCCACATCTGTACTAAACATTTATTATTTATTGCAAGTAACCATGTAACTAACCAAGAGTGCAGGACCCATAACTGCCACTTTGATCTGCAAATGTACAGGAAATCCTCTGGACATATACCAAGTGATTGTCCACTGAATGTATATGTGATTGAAATTTAGGCCTTGGCAGCACCATAATCACATTGTCTTAAATATCCAGACTTGAAAGCAACTGAGGTCAAACATCCTAAAGTTGGAAACTTACTGCCTCCTTATAGAGCCTTGCAGTGTTAGATCCTTGCAGTGTTAGATTCCCTGGGACCCAAGTGCCCCCCACCCCCAGTACAACTATGGGAACCAGCTATTTTGGTTTACATCTAAATGTCTGCCTCATGGTGCCCATAGGTGGGACTTTTGGAAGAGGGTTGGATCATGCTATAGCCAACTTGCTGTTAGGTGGCAGGGCCTGGTAAGAGGTGGGTCGCTGGGTACGTGGTCTAAGGTGCATCTCCCTCCCTGGCTCCTCCTTTCTCTCTCTGCTTCTAATTACCCTGGCATGAGCAGGTTTCCTTGGAGTCAGCCAAACATGGTTTGAAACTGTGAGCCAAAATAAACCTC